GGCCGGGGCTCCGCGCCACCGGAGACGCTACCCTCGCTGCTCCCGACCGGCCGGCCGGCGCGCCTCTCCCCTGCTCTTCTCCTCCGTCCCCTTCCCGAGCGGCCAGGCTGCCTTCTGCTTCCAGGCCTTCTCCCCGAGGGCCCCGAACGCTTCCAGAGCGAGGAGAAGGACGCGGCCTTGTCCTCGCCGCCTGCAACGCAGCAAGCCCCGGCTGCGTTGCGCCCGTCGTCGCTACATCCTTACTTCCCCGCTGCCTTTTCTAGCTAAGCTGCGGCCAAGAGTCACGTCACCAGCCCACAGAAGTAATGGTTCACGTATGACTTGGCTAACCTAAAACACTTTCTAGCAAACGGTTTCGTGTGGACAGACGCTGACAAGGGAGAGGTGGAAGGCGGATGGAGGAGATGCACCAAACACGGCCCCCTTGCCACGACGGTTCGTGTCAACGCCCGAGACAGCCCTGCGAAACAGAAACCGGCTGGGAAGTCTGCAGCCGAAGGGGGAACAACTCTTCCCCTCCCCAGACTTTGAAGCGCATTTCTCTATTTGCTACTGTTTTCGGAAACATCCTTTTCCTGGAAGCAGTGATTAGGATGGCTGAGATACCGTAGCTTACAGCTCTGCAGGGAACCGGGCTACGGCTGCGCGCAGAGACCGCGGGAGAAGCCACGACCAGACAAGCCAGTGGGCGCCTCCTACTTTTCCGGCACTCACTGAATCAGTGCACGGTCTGAGTTGTGCTAGCGCTTGCCCGTTTATCCCAAGCAGAATAAACGCACTCTATCCCGTCTATGTTTAAACCAGACACAAAGCTCCTAAAAACTATTTCGTACTTTAGTTATTTAGAAGGAGTCTTTGGGTTGCTAAAAAAAAGTGAACTAGCCACATCCTAACCTTTAATAAAACAGATCTAGCGTAAATAATTTATTTTAAAATTATTCTCTGTTATTGAATGCACGCAAAAACATATTTTATTTCTATAAACATCCGCACCCTTCCGGTCTATTTGTGGCAAGTTTCTTACTTTTTCCGTCTCCTTCCTATACCACAGAATATAAAACAAACCACAAAACAAGTAACGAGACTTCTCTCCAAGACCATAGGAACGTTCTAGCCTTGTTTTCACTCCAGGTTTCTCTAACAAAACCGACACTGGAGATAGCCACAGCGTAGGCTGTAAGAAGGAAATCTCCAAAGCCAGTCCAAACTTCAGCCACGCTACTGAAAGGCTGAGGTTACTCCACAAGTTAAACTCAGGTTACGCGTAAACGAGGGCAGAATTCGTGCCAAGGAGTAATTCTGAAGGTCCACATACCTCCCGAAGACTTATCCACCCCAACTAGTGTTTTTAAAAAAAAAAAAAACAGGTGTTTACCGTTGCTACAGTACGCAGCTAAGTCCCAAATACAACGCAGTTTTAACAGTATTCACTGGACCCCTTGACTGGCACAGAAGGAGCTCCGTGCGGTACAAACACAGCCCGGATTAACCTTCAGAGGCCACCGGTAAAATTGTTCTGCTGGGGCTCGTGACGGCGCGCTTCCCCCCACGAGCTTCAGGGCTCGTGACAACTGGCGTAAGCGGGGAGCTGCTGAAGAACACCTACAAGTAACTAGGGGCCACATAAAGGGTGGAAAAGGGAAAGGAGTTGTCCGCAAGGTGCCAGGTACCTGTTTAGAAGCTGCATATCAAGAAAAGGAGAGTAGAAATAGAGAGGAGCAGGGGCTAGAGAGCAAAATAGAAGGTAGGAAGGCACCCGAGCTGTTACTGTCTTTGAAGACTGAACAGCTGCAGAAGCAGGTACAGGGGGAAAAGGAGAAAAGGCAGAAGTTGGGAGAAGAGGTCGAGATGATGCTTATGCAGGCTCCTCGCCCCCCCGACCTCGTACAGACTAGAAAAATAGTCGTATCCCCTGACGACTGGGATGGAGACACCTGGGGTGATCCTGATGAGGGCGAGCCAGGAGGAGATGACCCTCTGTCCCCCTCAAATCCCCCTGAACACGAGGCCAGACCCACTGTTAAAACAGAAAGAACCGAGGCCCCTCGGGGCGGTGCTCTGCGACGTACTACGCACATCACTCCTGGCATCCGTCACAACTGGCAAATTTACGAGAAAAACATGGTAGGAAATCTGGGGAAAGTGAAACTGAGTACTTGTGGCGAGTCTGCCTACGCGGTGGTGACCGAATAACGCTGAGCGAGGACAAAGCACGCGGCTGTTGGGGTCTGGCAGCTTCTTAAATTCAGGACCCGACTGGGCAGATAACACCCCGCTCTCTCACCAGCCGCGCAGCTTACTGGGCTGGGGGAAGAGACACCACGGAGGGAGGTGAACCTCCGCAATCCCCATCGCACGTCTAAGCGAGCTCTCCACAGCCGCCACAAAAGCCGCTTGCACACAAGCCACGCAGCAAGGAGGACCTCGAAAGGTCCCACTATCTGCTACAGTAGACTCGGCAATGTCAAAACCACTGATTAGAGGAGCCCCAGCAATTCTTAAACCCCATTTAGTTGCAAAACGGGATGAGATAAAAAGAGACAGGGAATACGATGAAGGACTGGGTGACGATGACCTCCGCAGGCACCTGCCAACATGGGCAGAATTAACGCACGGCATCGTTAACCACAGCCGTGAAATGGGCTGGGACCATCCAACAGCCGAAAAACCAAACCTGAAGCGCCGGGGAAGAGATCATAGGGCGAGACCAGCGATACAGGCACCCCCACAGGGAACAGAAACCAAGTCAAAGGGAAACAAGCCTCAGGACCTGCGAACAGACTCTCGAGAACGGAGAAACGACTGTGGAGGAAAGCCTCAGCCCCAGGCGTCCCCCGAGCCGCGATCCGAGGTCGGCCTACTGGCCTTATCTCGAGCCTGATGGACGCTTCCCAGAAACGAGATAACGGCCAAAGAGGGGAGCGTGCTTTGACTTCTCCAGCGCCAGCTCCCAGAGAGGGAGACAACCCCTTCCTCCCCCGCAGGGGGGAATTGCAGGGCATGAAGCCCCACGACGAGTAATGCCCCGAAGGCAGCTGGGTCTGCCTGTCCAGCAAGCGGAGGCTTGATGATGGCCCATGTATTTTGATTCCAGCTGGTCCTCAAGGACCATTTGTGAAGTTTTTCTGCTGCGGCACGAAATGGAACTGCTGAAGTCAGAGCTGGTTTGCAGAAAGGTCAGGTTATCTCCAGAAGCCACTGCCCATATAACCCACCGGTCTGGCCAGTTCGGAAACCAGACGGGAGGTGGCGTTTGACAATTGATTACGGGCGCCTGAGCGCTACCAGAGCCCCGCTACCAGCTGCTGTACCAAACGCTGCAGACTTCACAGGCGCCGTGCGAGCGGCTGCACACCCATGGATGGCGGCGCTAGACGCGGAAGACATGTCCTTCACGGTCCCCTCGCGGGAGGAGGGCAAACAGAGGCTCGCTTTCACGTGGGAGGGAACAAAATATACCTTCAGCAGACTCCCGCAGGGGCGTAAACTTTCACCCATGATTGCTCATGCCGCACTTGCTGGACTTTTTACAGACAGTCTCCCTCCCTCCGGATGTGAGACTGTACCAACAGTGCGATGATATTCTGATCAGAGGAACTTCCCCTGAGAAGGGGGGAAGCGGCAGCAGCAGTGTGGCAAGGTTTTCACAAGCTTCACTCAGTGAAATAATTAGTTCCTAATAAATTTCAGCAAGAATTCAGGTCACATCTCCCGCTTGCACCTTTGGGGACTTCCCTGCTGAGTTTCACCCTAAGGTCTTGTTGATTTGTGTCTCGGAAAGTGCAAGACCTTTTCATTGCACACGAATGCGTTCTGCATTATTGTATGATTTCTCACAATACTCAAGAAAACCCCGTTACCAGAAACGTATGCCGAAGACTTTGTTGACTGGGCTGTGTCACCCGATTCAGCGGAACTCAGCAAAGGGCATGAGAAAAACAAGACTTCGGTTACCGAGGCACCTTCTTTCAACGGAAGCGCAGCACATCTAGTCCCTTAGCGAGGCGCTCGGCCAGGCCTGGAGCGGAGAGCCAGAGGGGCCTTTGCGAACAGCAGCGTTACGGCGACGCGCTGCTCGCTCCGGG